CAAGCTGGACCAACATATATTGTCAGACTAGGAGATATGTAGTGGGTACAAGTTTCCCACTAGTGTTGAATCACCTCAGATCATCAGCTTGACACGGATGCAGCTGTAGACCCAGGCAACCAAGAGAAGATGCAACAACTTTCAACTACTTGACCATTCTGGGAGCTTCAACTAGCCTGAAGAGTATAATACAGTGAACTGACAGCTTAGCACAGGTGGTTATCACTGTGGTACTTTCAACTGCGGGTTTGGCAAAGGAAGGAAGTATCTTGATGGCCAAGGACTGAGTTAACCTTGATTCCTGGGAGTTGAGGTTATTCTCCTCAGAAAAACCTTGCTGGACTTGATTTTCTTTATATATTTGCTCAATGGGTCCAACACCCAGGATCTGGCAGAGGCCACTGTTTCTTCTAGAGATCAGGAAATTATAAAACACTTCTAGTTTTCAAGACAAGTATTCTTCTTACAAAATTTCCTCACAGAAATCCCTGAATAAGGCAGGGGGCTTCAGTTTTCACATAGCTTGGAACTATGAAAAGTAACTTCATCCTAGATTCTTGATTGCTTTGATTCTTGAAATAAAATATATAAACTCTTCCCAGAGAGTGCAGAAGAGGGGGGAAGATGTGGAGGATCACAGTCTGCTGGAACTATCCTCACCTTTCTGAACTAAATGCAGCAACAGCCATAAATGAGGCGGAATGGAAGATTAAAATCCCACAAATTCACTATCCCTCTTGTTGATAGCCAGATTCCAGGGAGAACCACTTACATTATTCTTTGTAAAAATAAAAAAATGAAGACCAGCTCAAATCTAGAGAACTAGCCATGGGCTCTGAGAGTTTAATTCTTTTCAGACACCCCCGCCCCCCCCCGAGCTGAAAAAGGTCAACTCCTTTGAAAGGCATGTCCATGACCCCAGCTTACACTTCAGAGGAAAGATAACGAGTTTTGGATCCAAGAGCATTTCCAAAAGGATCCAGTCACATTCAAAGTCTTAGATGTGATGCCTGTGATATCAAAGGAAGCTCTGGGAATATGTTTACACACATCCTAATCTTGCTCAGTCAACCCAATGACTGTTGCATCTTGTCATCAAGATTGGACCTGGTTAACACTGTTCATTCAGAGCATTTTCTAAAGAAAAAAAAGGGGCCCTTTCCTTCAACTTTCAAAATAAGTTTTGTTTTTTAATTGCTTTGGTTATTTGCCAAAACAAAAAAACTTTAAAATTTCAGGAAGAATATTTATCCGCTCCTTTAGACCTGTACATTTATTTCCCTTGCACTTTTTCAAGTGTTCTTTTCCCACTCCAGCTTTCCAAAGGTCAAAGGAGTTTTAAAAGAAAACAAATAACTCCTATTAACACTCTGAGCAATGAAAAAGGAAGAAAAACAAAAACAAAAGAATGAAAAAAAGCAGTGCAGGAGGGAAATGCAACAAAACTAAGATGTCAGATTGGAATATTTTTAAATGCTTTTTCTTTCCCCCAAGTAAGAAATCATTTATTTTCAAACCCTACAACAGCACAAATACATTTGTGATTTTTAAACATTTGTTTTCCATTGTTCTGCTCATGAATGTACACAGCTCCCAATACTGCTTTTGACCAGAGAGAAAACGTCTATCTGGCAACAACGATCTTGGCAAGTTTGAAAATTGGCAGTTCAGAGTGGTCCTTCTGGTCTTAAAATCTATGGTAATCTAACCTAACCTCCTTCATAAATACAGGCCATAGGATTTTGCCTAGTAATTCCTACTCTGAGAGAGAGGCATCCAGTCTTGATTTAAAGATTTCAAGTGATGGAGAATCTATCATGTTCTTAAGCTTACAGCTATAAGGGTTACCTAGAAATTAACCTTCCTTGAAAGACATTCAGTTGCTTGAACTCTTTGCCCTCAGAAGCAGACAAGTTCCCAGCTATAGATTTTTCTCCCTTGCAAGAGAAATCGTAGCAGAGTTTGGGTTAGGATTCTGTGAGAATTCAAACCTTTCCCTGGAGGTAGAGCAGAATGAGCTGGGATCCTGAGCAATTCAAGCCCCAGAGACTAGATGGCTCCAGCTTTCCTTCATTCTCCACTAGTTCTGGAATCTCAAGTGTTTGTGTGGCTTCCTGAACAGAGCATACGAGATGCAGCTACTCCATCTGCTGAGCTGGGAGAAGATCTGGTGTCACTCATAAGAAGAAAGAAAGCAGGTACAGCCAGCTTATCAGGGGATAAGGTAAAACTGGTGCCTAAGAGCAGCATCCTCACCAATTCCTACATGGCAATATCTGAATCCACATCCAACAGCACCACTGACATGCAGGACTTGGCCAGAGGAGGGAAAAGGAGACTGCTTCAGTTTGAGGAGACTTCCTGGGAAAGGCAGGAGACCAGACCTCACGTCCCTACTCTCACCAAAGAAACCACATAGGTAAGATATGGAAGTTCATAGCCAGATTCAAGGAGTACAATACCATTAAATAAGAGATCCCAGTACTGCACAGTAAAAATCCAGAGTCCTCCAAAATGGTGTATAAGGCTCCAGAGATGTCCGTGTACCAAAACCAGGATCTCCCTGAGGATGAACCACAGCTGAATTGTATGGAACAGTCTGTTCTTAGACCTGAAGATTTCCAAGTTAATTCAGCAGTGAACACAGATCTGATGGAAGCAGAACAACTCTCAATCCAGTGATGGTACAGGCTGGTTTCAGAAAGAATTCTCTCCATTCCACTGAGAGTTCTAGAGAGAATGTGTCAGGAAACAATCCCACAGATCCTAGGTAACTGACATTGCCTTGACAAGTCAGGAGACATCTCTGACACCAGAGCTCTGAGGGTGTATATTTCTGGATGGAGTGGCTGGCAACTCAGAGGGATACACTAAAGCTGATCTGATTTGATTCTCAATCTGGATCCCAAAGGATCATACCAAATGGAAACCTTTATGGTCCAAGGAGGCCAACTACATCAGGGTTCACCTAGATTCAATGCAGGCTGCTTGCTGGAAGGCTAGTTCTTTTTGCTGTGAAACTCCCTGAACTGTACAACATATTCCCACCTGCCCTGGCCAAGAACTTGGAACCTTGGCCAGGGGAACAGAACCAATCTTTACTTTAGAACACTTCTCTTCTGCCCATGACTGAAACAACCGCCACCAGACAAACTAAGAGAAGTCTGGTATGTACTTTCCTCCAAATAAAAACAGCTGTAAAAGTATGTTTACTCTTTACAAAATGGACATGAGTAACAGCATGCCCCAGAAATCTGGCAACTTTCTGAGGGACAAGTGGAGGGATGATCAGCGAATACAAGGTATTTGTAGCCCATGGAACATAGGACTAAAGAGATAAAAGCTTGCTCCCTACCAACTGCTGATCAGACTGTACCATGGCCACATGGTCACACTTGAGACTCCTGGAAAAGACCTTATGGATCCAGTAGACTCATTTTCTTTATTAGAATTTTAAAAAAGCATACGGAGGTAGTAACTAACAAGTGTATATATTTCTGGAACACTGAACACTTCTTCTGTATCCTTTTCCCTTAAGACTGACTAAAAGCATTGAACAATTGCAAGTCAGGAGGCTGTATATTAATTTAATCACAGGATGCACATGTAAATAGCTACAAAATAAAGTCAAGGTATTGGACAGCAGCCATTCCAACTAAAAGGGTATAATTCTTTACAGGTTCTTAAAGGATCAAAATTTTATGAAAAGATACATAAATATGGCAAAACCAACTTGTCACAAAAGAACATCTTCTTGTCAAATATTATAAAGATATTACACCATAATACCATTACTTTGCGCTCTGGGCTGTGACTGGTGCCCTCTTTCAGGAGGCATTAATACTGATGTCCTCATCCCACAAAAATGTTAAATCCCCATGGCACTTTCTACACAGGCTGGGATACTAAACCACTTCTCCTGCCTAAATTCCAACCTTGTAATTGCAATTTGCCTCCCAAAATCCCTGAGTTCTAACTGGCTATGGAGCTCTTCGCTTCCTGTCCTAAATACTTGTTCAGTAGTGTCATGCATTGATCAACTTTACTGCCCTCTGCCCCCAAAGTGACTGTGTATCAACAGTGGGGTGAAATTATCTTTTATCAACAATAATTTGTATCATTACTTAATTCCTCAAGCATTTTGGGTCCAATCAAGGTGAAAAGAGCCATCTAATATGACCACTATGACCCCATAAAATTCTCACAGCTTCCCAATGAAGGCTGTGAAAAGGCAAAAATGGAAAGTCTCTGTAACTTCAGATTCTTCCCCAAGTGTTTCTTAGTGGGTGAAAGACGCATGATCTTTGTGGACTGAGCACACAAATTAACTGAAGTTATCTAGTTCTGAATGATCAGCTGATACAATCTACCTATAGTAAGATGCAGAACAATTGTGGCTTGGGGCAGGTTGCTTGCCAGATTTCCTTCAAGCATCCAAAAAAAAAAAAAAAAAAAGGTCACCTACAGCCCAAGACTCAGCAGGGGAAGTTTCAGGCCCAGAGATTACTTTTTTGTTAGAAAATTACTGAGAGGTCAACAATAAGACTCAGAATTTAAAACAGGCCAAAGCCATACAGTTTAGTTCTGGAGCAGAACTTCAGCTTAATTCACAATTGCTCTGGAGCACAGGTTTGAATGGAAGTGAGATTGCTACTATGAATGCATGAGATTTTCGTGCTGCAGAGACATCTCAAAAGAGAACTTCAGTGGAGGGATGGACAAGGAGTTTCCCCTGTCCCAGATTCTATCTATGTAATGACTGAGAAAGAGACATCTATTTAAAACTCAAACCAGGGCAACATCCACACACTGCACAAAATCCCTAACCCTTCAAAGCCTTCCGCTGACCTTTGTTTTTCTGGATCACCAGGAAATCCCCATCCCAATGCATAGTGCAGCATGGTTCCTAGTCATACCTCCAAGTCAGTCTAAAGAACCCTTTCCCACTGGGAACACCAGCAGTAACACCACTCTGATCCAACATTGCATGTAAGACTTACTTTTCCAAACTGCTCGAAATATTGTTTCACATCCTCCACAGTAGTGTTCACTGAGAGACCCCCCACAAAGATCTTCTTCGTCCGGGTCACCATCTGGAAAAAGGGAGGAGAGGGATTCATGGAACAAACAGCTAACAGAGAATAAGATCGCTCCAACCACCACCAAAACCACCCCTTCATCCTAATCTGTGATCTGAGGAACATGCTACATGTTTTTATTCCAGTGGAAACCACTCTCAGCAGAGGACTGTGTCCCCTAAGCAAACACTGTATCTAACAGGGTATATTTCAGGCTTTACACATTTCTCTTTGTGAAACTTTCTCTCTCAGTCATCACCTGCACCATACCGCTTATCCCTGTGTGGGCCAGGACAGTACTAGAGGGAGCAGTCACCAAGTTGCTGACAGCTCCCAGAACCAGCCAGTGCACAGCCTCCATCTCCCCCTCTTAATCCCCTGGTGGCTAGTATATCATATTAAAAATTCTCCCTCCTTAATCTGCCATTCACCCACCTGGCATGTTCACAAACCCCCTAGCAGACATAGTGCTGCCATCCCCTTCACAGTCAGGGCACTGCAGTTACAACTCTATCCATCCTCAGGTCACCCTCTTTCACTTGTAGTCTCCATGCCTCTCATGGGCAAAGCAAAACGGAGTCCTCCAAGTGTAGACTGGCTACATGCTCAAAGCTTTACAAACTATTCAGAGTCCAGGCCCATAGGGAACAAAGCTCTGCTTCATATTCATTCCCACATTATAAGTTACATGGTGATGGGAGGGCCTCCCTGTTAAACCATCTTTAACATTTGGAAGAAAGCAAAAGGAAAAACCTTCAGCCTTTCTCCTCTCCCAACCACGAGTCTGAGAAAGAAAGTCTAGCTGCCCCGAGAGGGGCCATTGCTACTAGGATGACACACACCAGTGTCCTTTGAACCGACTCTCCAGCTGCATCCTCCCCTCCCCTGCCTGGCCACACCCCCACTCTCAGAGGAACACATGGTCCTAATTACCCCAAGGAGCACAGGGCTAATCCGCAGCAATTCCATGGCTTGGAGACAAGCCCGTTCTAACACTAAAGCACCTTCTGTCACCAAACTGCTTAATGGAATTAACCCAATTCCTCCCATGTGTTTCCTGGCTCCAGTTACTCAGGATACCTGCTCGCTAATTGTTCTCAGCTCCTGATCTCCTTCGCTTTCCTCCCCACTTCATTCTCCTTCTCCCTTTGGAGATTCTGCCCTGTCCTTCTCACCAGATCTTTCACCTACTGCAGTATTCAGAGGGTAAAGAGCAATCCCTCAGCCCAACAGTGAAGTTAAGGCAGATCCCAGCTTCTATTCACTCTGAAGGCAGATCTCATCTGACATTTGCTTCCCAGGTAAAAGTTTCTGGATAAGAACCTGAACAAGACCTGGGGCTGCTCACTTCCACCAAGCAGCCGTATTCCTGTTGTAGGTAAGGCCCAATCCATTGCTCTCTCTGCCCCTTCTGCTGCATGAGTGGCACCTTGCCATATCGCAAAAGGAAGTTTTTCCCCTCACCCCACACCTCTCCCAGATCATTCAGCAAGTCATCTGCCACAGACTGGAACTACTTCATGTTTCTTTCATACCCTCGAGTTCCAGACACAGGCTATAAAAGGAGTTAGAGAAGGTGCTATATTCTCCATGAGCAGTTTCCCATTTCATCAGCTCTAGTTACTGCCACCATGAACCAGAACCAATTTGAGCTTGAGCTACTTCCAGCCCTAGACCAGCAACCCTAAAGCATCCCAAAACCCTGCTGGGAGTTCATATAGAACTGAAGGTGATGGTCAGGCACTGACATTTATCTTTAATGCTAATCACCAAAGCCTCTAGGCCTCAGTCCACTGTACAAGGGCATGGTGGGGAGGAGTTCAATCCCTGAAGTTTTTACCATTTCGATTGGTAAGAGCTACAAGCACTACCTACCTTGGGCTGAGCACGGCGGGGGAATGCAACCTTCGGGTCAATCTGAAAAAGACATGGGAGAAAGCAAGTGAACACACTTTAATTCTCTCTATGTTTCATTTACTAATATAAGATCTCTTCTGCATGCACAAATCTTGCCCAACTGACAGCTCACCAGAAACCCCAGGAACCCGCCTAACGAGGATAAAATGAAGTCGGCTGCAGACATCTTTATCTTTTAATAGAGGTGTGACCCCAGGGACTACAGCTCCCAGCATGCAACATTCTGTTTCAATCTGAGCAACGTCTGGCCAGCACAAAACGGAACCTGACATGCTGGGATTAGCAGTCCCTGCTAACCACTCCCCTGTGTTCAGCCTGCTCCCTGGCCACCCTACACACCAACTGTCACATTACAAGTGCTCTTTGCCTTTATCTGTTTTTCCCCTTCAGGATAGGTGCAGTAGAGAGCTCATCTGGTTAATAACAGAACAGGTAAGGCACAGTATACAAAAAGCCAAGTAGGGCACACCACAAATGTGAGTGAAATCACCAGAATTCATATGAGAAGGGAAAAGATAACTAAACAGAGGAGTCCCATACACACAGTTTTGCAATGAAGAGCAATGTCATTAAGTCAGATGGTGCTATCACCCTTTCAGCATCTCCTACTGTGCACAACAAGGACAATCCGTTCCAATCTGCAGGCTGAGCTCTCTATTATGTGCCTGTGTCTAGCTTATTAATAAACCGGCTGTCCGCTGGAGCTCCTGCATCTCAGCACTACCATCCAGGTGCTGCACATTCTGCTGGGGTCAGCAGTGGATGAACGCATGCTTGCATTAGTCTTAAAGCACACTCCATAAACTGGGAAAATATTAATGCAGCTGAACACCAAATGCTCATGACATCCCTGCTCCTCCTCAGACACCACCACATTCTTTACAGCCTATTTTTACAGCAACTCTTGTGATGTAACTTCACGTTAGAAGATGATCCAATCCTACAAAGCAGCTCTGGGAGGACCTGTGCTAAAGGATGGTCTGGCTCAGCCCCCAGTTGGGTAGGCTGAGGCCAGGAGAGCAGCTGAAAGGTCTGTCTCATTAGCCCAGCAGCTCAAACAGCCCATAAGAAACTGCATCTCTCTCCAATTCATCTCACTGCTATTGTTCTACTTTTCAGCCTGGCTTTTCACCCTTCCCTTAGTCCTTTCACTTGTCACACAGAACCCACAGCTCAGGGCCTCATCAGGTCACTCCATGCAGTTCTCTCCCTGCCTTCCCCACCTCCATCCTGACTCACAACCTAGAACATAAATAAACTCAGCACGTAAGTAAACAGAGACAAAAGTGAAGAACATAAAATAAACTCAAAAATAAGTTTCCCCCAAAGAGTTCCAAACACAGCCAGAATAACATATCCTTGTGGTGCCTCACAGGGGCATCTCAAACTCCCCTCCCCTTTCCTCCCCCTTCCCACATACACAATCCTCTGGCTAGTGCAGAAATCCTCAGTGAATTCTGAGGACAGGGGACGGCAGGAGACCAGGAGGTTGATGGCAGATAATAAGCAAAAACAATAATCTACTGTCTTTTAGTTCCCAGCCAGTGTCATTCAGCTCCTGCCAAGAAGATGCTTTCATATTCAACAAAGTTAAGCTCAAGCCTCATTTTTCTCATTACCCTGAGCGTGATCAACTGGGCAGAGATAACGTATCCTCCTGGCTGGAGAGGGCAGGCAGTAATTTCACAAATTCTTCTACACAACTAGCTATTGTTGCAGGTAAACCAAGGCCAGGCCAACTGACTGCAGGCACGTCATGGAAGAACACGGAGGGGAGAGAGTTTGAAAGGAGACTCGAGTTACTTCAAGGGGGTTACTCCTTAAGTGCTGGAGTCTTCCTAATGAAAGCAAAAGTAGTGGTGGTCTAATACCTTATTCCTGGTACCAAAGCCAAGAAATCTGGTAGAATTTGATATCAGTGTCAGCTATGGATGAGATGAATCCCCTTTACAGGTTTGGACAAAAATCTGATAATGGTGGAAGTGTTCAAAAAGCTGCTCAGATAATGTAAAAAAAACAAACAAAAACCAGGATTAAATAGCATTGAGGGAACTATTGAAGTCCATATCACTTTCAGGTTAAAGTACGAACCTTTAGGGACAATTTGCATCTTCAGTTATATCTATGGAATACCACCGACTTCACAGGTGTAACCAAAAGCTTAATTATGTTCTTCGTCACCATTTTACAAGTCACATAACAGTTTAGATACCATTTAATATCATGCAGCAATTAGCTTACTTACATCATTGCCCATTTTGCCTTTATACAATAGCTGGTATCAGAAGTAATCCAAAAAAAAAAAAAATGCATTTTGAATATCCCTAGTGCTAGGTTTGTTACATGAGTTAACTCTAGATTTGAAAGGACCCATAACATTGCCCCCTTGCTGAGAGCAAAACCAACAAACATGACAGCAACCAAACTCCTGTAATGCCATTATTTCTAGGAAGCTCAAGGCAGTGGCTGGCTGCAGCTTTACAAAGTCACGCAAATCTTTTACCTCAAGACTGCAAAGCCAATTCTCATATCAAGCATTTCCATAAATAACCCCGTAGGCTGCTATCTTGCTAACAAACAAAGAAGAGTCTGAAAAGCACAAGGTTTCCCCCAGAGAATAAGGCCAACAACATTCATTACCATAGGAAGATTTGGAAAACAATGAAGCAACAAGTTGGGCAGACATTGTCTACCCAGTGCTGTTTAGCAGGAGACATCAAGCACAGAGAATGGGGTGTAGTTTCAGGACAGTCAGCCTTTTCCCACAAAGTTTTATAAAGGCATATATTAAGATTCAGATGAATTTGTATCATTTAACTCATGACTCACAACAGATTGTTGCCTAGAGAGGGAAAAGGCACATCTAGGGCTCCACACAGCATTACAAAACCAGCCTGTTTTAGGGGACTGAAAACAACTGGGCTACATATACAGATCAGACCTAGAACTTAACCAAGCAACAAACAGGCATCCTACCCAAAGCCACTCTGCTCAACATAAAACTTTAAATAAAGAAATTAAAAGAAGAGGGGAAAAAAATCAAAGTTGCTGACAAAGAAAGGACGTGAGAAAATCTTCCCTCATTTCTTTCTGCTGCAGACAACCAGCAAAGCAGACGCAGGATTTCAATGGCTGGCCTACCCCATGTTTTCTACACCCTGAGACCCTTCTGTTCTCCTTTAGCGCGCGCGCGCACACACACCATACACACACCCTCCCCCTCCCCAGCCCTTCATGTGTCTACCACACAACGAATCCTAGAATGGCTTTAACACAAGAGGCAGCATTGGTTTAGACAGAAGAATGGAGACTGTGGGTTTCATCTCACTCCTGTCCCAGAAATGGTCTTGGGATTATTGCCACTACAGACAGTCATCACTCGCCTTTTCAGCAAGGACTTACATCCGTCCCACAGATTTGCAAGGGGACTAGTTGATCACACACCATGTTTACACAGGCCATAAACAAAAAAAATCGTGCTCCCTCTGCAAAACACTTCATCAGAACCCTCCCCTAGAGCAAAACTAACTTTATACAATCCAGAGAGGATGAGGTTTAAGAGACAAGGAAAAATGGGGCAAGGAAAGCTGGAATAGGTTTAACCAGGAGTTCCCATGGGGAGGAAGGTCCTGTGTACATCAAAAAGAATAATCCATACAGTTAAATAGGACAGACATAAATCTCACTGCAACTGATGCTGCAAAACGTCAAGAAAGGGGTCTCTCTCCCACTCTGTCTACTTAAACATAGATTACTATGCCTGAAGTGCCTCACTCAACTTAAGGTACACATTTGGGCTTGTCATTAGTCCATGCCTGGAACTGGAACTTCTTCTTTCACCATGTCACCCCGCTTCCAATCTCCCCACCCCCAGGGGAGTAACAAGAAATAGGAATTCAACATCAGGAAAGTCACTAACAACTAGACAGAGAAAAGACCTCCCACTCAGACATTTAACACCCAGCCCCAAACTACATATCCTATATCTCTCCTGGGTGTCAAGGGCTTGCAATGCACAATGTATCTATTCCTGCTGATACATTCCAAGCATCTACAAAAAAAACCCCAAAACAAAACAAAACAAAACAGACCAAACCAAAAAAAACCAAACAACAAACCCAACACATACAACGCTAATTACAAGCTCACCAAAGGCCTAATGCTGCTCATACTTGTGAGAACCCATGAGCACTGTGAGGGATGGTGTTATCACTGATGTCTCAAAAGGCAAAAGGTATCCCACATGGGCATTAATAATCTGCACGAGAAGACAAACTCTTGGGTCTTCACGATTTATAAGGGCTTATCCTGGAGAAGTCAAATGGAGAACCTTCAGAGTCCAAGATACAATCCCCAAGAGAGAGGTGGAGTCTATACCACATGCCAAACAACTCATGCCAAAGAGGATTGGGCCTAGCTCTTTGTAAGGGTCAGGTACCCAGCCTAGAGAGCACTCGACTACATGCTCGTCGCAGGAGATGGTGACTAGTGCTCACATGAGAAGGAAGCCCCAGTGCTAGATTTTCATAAAGGACTGGGACTGTGCACTGTCTGAGGGTGCAAGGCCCCACCTCTCTTTCCCACTCTCAGGAAAATCCCTTGCACAGATGCTTTTAGCTTGTCACTTTTCCTGTGCACCCCTTGTTCAGGACGTATTTGTCCTTCCCATCTCAAAGTGACACAAGCAGTTTCTCAAAAGGGATCTTAAAAATCAATAGGTAGAACAGAACATCATCGCAGGGGATTTGTAATCAATACTCCACCATGCAGTAACTAAGCCAGACTTAAAACCCGCAGCTCAGAAGAACAGCTCGTTTACAAACTGATAACCAGGATGGAGAAGGGATCCATAATGCTTTATCAGGAATCCATACTTTACAACCCCTAATTGGAAATCAAATACCACAGGGGAGAGGGCTTCTAGCCTGACCCGCCATTGAGGAGGAGTGAACCCCTTGGATGGAAAGAGTCTCACCGTCTTGGAGTCCAGCTCATGCCTGGATTGGGCCAGAACCTTGTCCACACCAGCCTGGTCCATGAACGTGACGAACCCGAACCCCCTGCGCCCCCAGGCCCGTGCGGGAGAAGGGGGAGATGGAGAGAAGAAAGAAAGTTGGTTAAAGTGGTGCCAGGCCCCGGTGGGGGGGGAGGCAGGAGCCGCAGCAGCCGCCTCACCTGGATCTCTTTGTCAGCGGGTCCCGCATCACCAGACACTCCTTCACCTCGCCGAACTGGCTGAAGTACTCCCGCAAGCCCTCTGCAAGCAAAGCGCGGGATGGAGGGGGCCGCGCACAGCCCCCGCCCCCAGCCCCTCGCGGCGCCCTGGCCCG